AAACATTTTTCAGAACTTCCTTGCTGGAAAATACTTCATCAATCAGGACCAGGCAAAAAAGCCTTCGTGGATTCTCGACCACCCAGTTTTTTCTTTGATGGGATTTATCGACTGGTGTCACATTGGCAAAAGTGTGCTGATTCGAACGGTGCTTATTTCGATTAAATCCGATGAGTATTAAGAAAGTTATGATCGTTTAAAGTGAAACACTCAAAACGCTGAGAACTTTCCGGACAACCTAATATTTGATGGCTCAACACGTTGATGGGAAGGAGCGAAAATGCAGTATGCCCCCCCCCTCCTCCCCTGCCAAATTGTGCGAGATATTTAGTTTAGATGAATACCTCTATTGTGTTCGACGTAATATGAAGTTTCAACGTGAACTTTGTTTCGACCGGCACCATAATCGGCTTTTCCATTTCACCCGTGAATTTCCCTGCGATTCGTGCAGAGGCTGTGATCTGGAAAAAGCACTGGATATATTGTCGGAAGGAGTTGAGGAAAGGAAGTTAGACTTCATTACCCTGCCACTTTTTGCAAGGGGCACTGTGACGAGAATAGCGATATCCGTAGCCGACGAAAGTTGCATAGTGAAGCTCCTGAAAATTACGGAATATGAGGCGGCTAGTTCCTGATTGATGAAGGTGTCACCAGCGTTCAACTCTCTTACCTTCTACTCTCAGGGCACATTCTATCGTTCCTGCCCCAGGGGGGGAATTTTCTGAAGATAGCACCCCAAGATTTCCTCGTTTGGTACCGCTTCCTTCCTTATCCTACCTGTCGCCTCACTGGCTTTTCCTAACCCCACCCACTTTTCTCGAAACGCTGCCGTCGTGAGGGGAAACGGAGGCAACCGTAAAAATTTTTCTTGCCTTAAAAATATGCTGAGGCCAGGCACGACTACCCACCCATCAGGCTTTGAAACAGTACCCGACTCTGCTATAAAATTATTACAATAGAAACACCAGAAATCGCACCAACTTCTCTCTGGCTTGGTATGCTTGGGCTGTACAGGAAATGGAAGTACCGATGGCGCATCCGCTGTGGATATTCCGTCGAAACGGCATGTTCTGAATTATGATGAATTATTTTGATAATTTAATTCTGTACTTTGTATTTTCTTGAGCTCTTATATCTTTAGACCCATTCTCTCGAAAAGTGTCCACACAGTTTCTCTCCCAGGGAAAAAAATGGTTTCCTCCGCAGAGTTCGCCAAGAACTCGCAGAATTATTCGCGGCCCTTCTTGCCGGTCCTAGGAGCGCGCAGAAGAAACAAACCGCATTTTCGTCGGGCTAATAAACGTGGCTGGGAAGGGGAAGGGTATTAAACGGAGTCCTTATACCAAAATGAAACTATCGCACTTGCCCAAGCCTGAAGGGGAAACGAGCTTCTGAACCAGTTCCATGAACCATTTTTTCTATTCGGACGATGACGTTAATCTCAGTAACCCACCAGTAGTTCAAAGACTCCCTTTGAAATTGTCAGCGTTTTCGGATCGCTTAACGACTGAAAGGTCCTCCCCGTAAGATCTTGGAATCGTCGCGTTAAGTGAGCTTCAGAAACCCTCTTTGGATCTAAGTAACGAAAGGTAAATGATAAAGTTCTTCGCTGGTGTTTCCTTGCAGGGATTACTACTTCAGTTGAAGCGTAGTGTTTACCGCGTTCATTTTGTGCAGTTGTCATTAGAGTCGACCTGCGTCCACGCAACAGACCATCCGCTTTGCCACTCATCATAAACGACTAGGAAATTATAGATATCGATAAGGGACGACAGCGTACTCGCAAATGTTGCCAAGCGTCAACAGCAGCGTCACCCACCACCATCAGCGCCCCTCACGGGGCACTAGGGAAAATGGTTATCTTCGCGTTTACCAGAGCCACCAGTGCCCAGGGGTACGGTAGCTGTATATAGTACAATACGAATTGCACACGTCACACATTTCCGTGCCTAATTCAGCTGCTCCTGTGTCCAACTATCCCATACTTATCCAGCGTGCTAACCCTACTTCATACTCTCTGCTCCTGCCGTTGATAGACGCTGAGACCTAGAATCGATATCCGTGCTTTCTTCGTCTCAAAATGCAGATATCGGTGAGCGGACGCTGTTAGACGCTGCTGTCGCTCTCGATCGATATCTATTTATCCTAAAAACGCAGATTCTCATGGTTGATGCCATCTATGAAGTATAAACGCGCTTACTGAAGTGATATGGTCACCAATGGCCTTACCGGGACTAAGCCAATGTAAAATACGTTTCGTATCATTCCAGATTGATTTTTGATACCGTTTTTTTCGCCGGGATGTAGAATGATGCTTGCGGGAGCTATAAAGGATACTGACGCTCAGACCGCCTCGAAGTAAGCGTGCCACTTGCACAACACCACAATCTATCCTCCAAGCCGAACCAAATAGTGAAATGATATAGAGACGACTCGTTTCAGCAGCTTTCCGAAATGTTTAGCAAACATTCGTTGCGAGTTTAGTCGTGTTCGAAGCGCGCTGAACGCGTATCATGCCAGAGTAAGCTACAAATCTGTGAACAAGTAGCTAACGCATAAGAGAGACTTAGTAGGAGTAATTCCAGGAAAATGGACTAATGAAAGGATGATCCACTTATCACGTGGCCTGTTGGAGACGTGCATTGCTATCGGTTTTCTCCTGCAATGGTCAAATTTCTTACCATCAGGACTCGCCCTAATGCCGTCTGAATAGGAGGGCCAAATGCTAAGTACCAGAACCAGTTCTAACTCCCATATCCTTGGCCCGATCTTTGACCTGGGTCTGTGGTGAACTTTGGCAGCGTAAAGCAAGGGCTCTCGTGGCCTGTAGTATCTGTGAACCCTATACAAAAGAAGAAAGAGCGGAAATTTGTGATGCTCTCTAGAGGGCCGATTTTATCAATCAGAAAAAAGAATATAAAATTTACCGGTAGGGGAAAGCGTTGAGGAGCTGCCGCCATATCTAAGAAACGAAGCTGACAGAAATGACTGTCTGATAAGCAACGCTCGTGAATTCACGGTGAATCACGAACTGAGCATACAGCTATTGATCGTAATACAAATCACGGGATTCAATCGATATCGACAGGGACTTTGTGGAGAACCTGGAATACAGGCGAGAAAGGGGTGGCACGTGTGACGGATGAGTGGAAAGAGCTATGGTGGCCGGTAATCAAACACAAGAAAGATTCGCATGCGTTGCACAGTTATTGAGGTGTCATCGCGATCTATGACCTGTGCTGACTGGCGCCTAGGCTTGAAAATGACTCAGGATTTCATGATAAGCAAATAAATGACGCAATTTAAAGACGAAATTCGCTCGGAGCATATTGAATATCGAATTTCATCACGCCCCGTGCCAAGCGAACCCGAAAACGGATGGAAAACATAGAGGAGTCTCTACAGAACAATAGAAAGAAACGGGATATATCGTGCTTCGGTCATAAGAGAAATGAAGGCACTTGACGTCGGTAGCCCCTCCCCTGACATGCGCCATTCGTTTCACTTCCATTCAGAATCATGCGAATACCTTGATTGAGATATGGCAGAAATAATGAACTACGGACCAGCCAAGGTCAGGACAAAGCTTCTGTTTTGTTAGACGAAAATAGAATCAATTAGTCGCTCTCACAAGGGAGGTCGTTCAGGGCGTGGTGAGCTTTTTCAAAATGGTCTTGTGCATATTGTAGGGGCACATACGAGGACCAGAAAACTGAGGTTCATTTTCGCTGCGCGCTTCTACGAATAAAAAAAACGTAAAAAATAGGTCGATGGTTCGGATCCCACCGAGGACAAAATT